ACAGTCTTGAAAACGCCATGGCGCAGTTCTGTTCTGCACACATAGACTCGCCATGAGTTGGAATCAACTCAACAGCAACTAACAGCAACAGCATTTTTTTTTTTTTAGATCAAAGAAGAGTTATTGGTAGTTGGAAAATATGGCCTTGGTGATAGAAATAACGCTGGAGATCGCATGATAGAATTTTGTACGATCAGTGACTTAATTCATTGCAAATACCTTTTTTTAACAACATAAATGATGACTATACCCGTGGACTTCACCAGATGGAATACACAGGAATCAGATTAACTACATCTGTGGCAAGAGGTGATGGAGAAGTTCAATATCTTAAGCCAAAACAAGGCCAGGAGCTGATTTTGGAACAGACTGTGTATCAACTACTCATATGCATGTTCAAGTTAAAGTTAAAGACAATTAAAGCAAGTCCACAAGAGCCAAAATAATGACCTTGAATATATCCCTCCTGAATTTAGAGACCATTTAAGAATAGATTTGATGTATTGAACACCAGTGACCAAAAACCAGAGGAATTGTGGGATGATATCAAGAACATCATCCATGAAGAAAACAAGAGGTCATTGAGAAGACAAGAAAGGAAGAAAAGACCAAAATGGATGTCAGAAGAGACTCTGAAGCTTGCCCTTGAGCGGAGAGTAGGTAAAGCAAATGGAAGAAATGAACAGAAGATTTCAAAGAGCAGCTCGAGCAGACAAAGCCAATGACTATAATGAGATTTGCAAAGACCTGGAATTAAAAAACCAAAAGGGAAGAACATGCTTGGCATTTCTCAAGCGGAAAGAACTGTGGAGAAAATTCAAGCCTTGAGTTGCAATATTGAAAGATTCTATGGGCAAAATATTGAATGATGCAGGAAACATCAAAAGAAGATGGAAGGAATACACAGAGTCACTATATCAAAAAGAACTGGTTGATGTTCATCTATTTCAGGAAGTGGCATATGCTCAGTCACCAATGGTAGTCAAGGAAGAAGTCAAAGCCACACTGAAAGAATTGGTAAAGAACGAGGCTCCAGGAATTGGTGGAATACCCATTGAGATATTTCAACAAAGGGATGCCCTGCTGGAGGCACCTATTTGGTTATGACAAGAAATTTGGAAGACAGCCAACTGACTGGAAGAGATCCATATTTGTACCCATTCCAAAGAAAGGTGATCCCATAGTGTGGAAATTATTGAACAATATCATTATTATTGCACGCAAGTAAAATCTTAATGAAGGTAATTCAAAAATGGTTGCAGCAGTATATTGGCAGAGAACTTCCAGAAATGGAAGCTGGATTCAGAAGAGGATGAGGAACGAGGGATATCGTTGCTGATGTCAGATGGATCTTAGCTGAAAGCAAAGAATACCAGAAAGATGTTTACTTATGTTTCATTGACTATGCCAAAGCATTCGATTGTGTGGATCATAACAAATTATGGATAACATTGAGAAGAATGGGAATTCTAGAACACTTGATTGTACTCATGAGGAACCTGACATAGATCAGGAGGCTGTCATCCGAATAGAACAAGGGGATACTGCATGGTTCAAAATCAAGAAGGGGGTGCATCAAGGTTGTGTCCTTTCATCATACTTATTCAACTTGTATGCTGAGCAAATAATCTGAGAAATTGGATTATATGAGGAAGAAAGTGGCATCAGGATTGGAGGAAGGCTCGTTAAGAACCTACGATATGCAGATAACACAACTTTGCTGAAAATGAGGATGACTTGAAGCAGTTACTGATGAAGATTAAAGACTACAGTCTGTAATATGGACTACACCTCAATATAAAGAAAACAAAAATCCTCACAATTGGTCCAATAAATAGCTTCATGGTGGATGGAGAAAAGATTGAAGTTGTCAAGGATTTCATATTACTTGGTTCTACAATCAACACCAATGGAAGCAGCAGTCAAGACATCAGACGACGTATTGCATTGGGCAAATCTGTTGCAAAAGACCTCTTTCAAGTGCTGAGGAGCAAAGATGTCTCCTTGAGGACTAAGGTGTGCCTAACCCAAGCCATGGTATTTTCAGTCATCTCTTATGCATGTGAGAGCTGGACAATGAATAAGGAAGACCAAAAAAGAGTTGATGGTTTTGAGTTGTGTTGGAGAAGAATGCTAAGACCATGGTCTGCTAAAAGGACTAACAAATCTGTCCTGGAATAAGTGCAGCCGAAATACTCCTTGGAAGTGAGAATGGCCAGACTTTGTCTCACCTACTTTGATCATGTTGTCAGAAGGAACCATTCCCTGGAGAAAGGATATCATGCTTGATAAAGTGGAGGGTCAACGAAGAAGGGGAAGGCCCTCAACCAGATGGACTGACATAGTGGCTGCAACAATGGGCTCAGGTATAGCAAGGATCATGAGCCTGGCACAGGACCAGCGCAGTGTTTCATTCTGCTGTGCATAGGGTTACTATGAGTTGGAGATGACTCTACGGCACCTAAAAACAACAGTGTTACTTAGGACTGAGCATTTGTTTGCATAATTGGTGTTAATATTGTTTGCTTCTGTAATTTGTTTTTCATGAGTGAAAGCATGCTTTCATGGTTAGGACTTGGTATTCTGTGATTCTCAAAAACTACCATGGCAATCAACTTACGTTTTCCATACTCTGTAAATATATGTTGGATGAATATATCTGTCCTTTTTCAGAGAAACCTTAGCTCTTTTTGAAGTTGGTAAGGGAAGGAAAAATAGATTGCTCGCAAAGAATATGCCCTCCTTTTTTCTTAGCCATTATGAGGATAATAAATCCAAATCTCCACTTTTTCACTTCTTTGACACCAGCTACAACATGCAGCACTTCTTTCTCTGACCTTAACCACCTGGAGGTAGGTCAGAGCTCACAGGTTAGAAGGACATTGTCCTTCAGGCTACAAGTTGGGGGGCTCCCAGGAGGTCCCCTCAATTCTAACTTACTGGGTATAAGTTTGGGAATTTGTTCTACCCCCTCAGTATACCAGGCGAAAAATCAGGGGTGACCCAACTCCCTCACCTCAAACCTGCTGGCTCCTCCTACTTCCTTAAGTTTGATAATTCATTGGAATGATTCATAGAACTCATAGAGAGCATTATACTTAAAATTACAGCTTTATTATAAGGGATACAAAGCGGAGTCAGCATGCAGAAGAGACACATAGGGCTAGATCTGGGAGGGTTTTCAGTGCGGATCTTCTGTGTCCCAAAGGGATTTTGGCATCCTCCCGAAGAACAAGTCTTTTCACCATCCACGAAGCTTAGGGAGCGTCAGTGACCAGAGCTTTCATTGTAGTCTAATTATGTGTGACAGTTATGTTTGTATGTCAACTTGGCTAGGCCTGGTTGAGTGGCTGGGCAGCTGGCGGTAGTTATTCCCCATGATGAGACTGGCAGTCAGCTCCGTGGTGGGATCTGCCACAAGCAGCTGAGTAGCTGCCTTTGAGATGTGGTCTGCTTCCTGTATTTAAGAAGCTTTGAGAATGGTCTCTTGCCTATGGCTATGCTTGGACCCTGCATGTAGCCGTCATTGCTCAGCAGCCTGCTATGCTCTGCCGACTTTGGGACTTACAATGGACTTAAGTTGATGGCCTGCCAGTGTGATTTGATAACATCAGGACTGTGCCTTACTTGTCAACCTCGGGGCTTCATAGCCTCAGCAGCTAGCAGCTGTCTGAGTAAAGAAATGCCTCTAGCTCCAGTGGGCTGGGAGCAGGAGGCGGAGCTGCAACCCAAGGTTGAGGGGCTTTCACCCATCCCCTAGAGCCTGCCACTTTGAACTTCGATTTAAAGCCTCCAAATTGTAAGAATAAACTCCTGTTTGTTAAGGCCTTCCCATTTGTGGTATTTTTCTTGTCAGAGCGGTACTAGGTAACCAGAACATTGTGTAATGCAAACTCCAGCCCATCTTCCCTATGGTTGGCCCATATCATGAGGTGATTGTGGGGTATCACACAGTATGTCTTTCTGGCCTGGCAGAAAGACAGGTTTGAGTATCATTTAGGCCCTACCCCAGAGTCACCTCATCACTGCAACTAACCTGTCAAGAATGCTCTAGAATCCTTATCAGTAACACTTACATGCCAAGGTTTTTTTTTGTTTTTAAGAGATCATGTCTTAGAAGCTGAAGGCAAAGACCAAATTTTGGGGGTAAAATAAATGTAAGCCCTACAGCCATAAAAACCCAAACTTTTCTCTTTATATCATCCTTTGCATTTATCAACTGACGTTTTGTATCTCTAGTTACAAACGCTCCAGAATTGACCTAAAATATTTTATCTGTTTTCTAGAAGATAAGCGTTCCTGTTTTTCCTGAATTTCAACTATTCCTTCTTTTCCACTCAAATGCCATGTTTAGGTTCATTGTTAATAAAATATTCTTAGTGGAGACCTGTCAAAAATAAAAACACCTAGTAAACATTTGGCAAAAACCAGTGCCAAAGCCAGTGACTGGTTTTATCATAATCTACAGTATAGTTATATTGTGATGTTCAGAAACCTGGGATTTCTAATCCTTGCTATAGTAATTAAGTGTATAACTCTAGTCCCTAAGCAGTTCTAATGTAGGTAGGTTTCATTGACCAACTGTCATGTGGCACTTAAACCATACATATTTTGTTGTTGTTAGGTGCGGTCGAGTTGGTTCTGACTCACCCTTTGTACAACACAACGAAACACTGCCTGTTCCTGTGTCATCCTCACAGTCATTGGTATAGGTGCAAAATATACTTGGAGCAGATTTTTTTTTTCATGTCATGCATTGTTCCTGAATGATACTCAAACCTGACTTGAAATTTAGTGACGCTAGATGTTTATGAGACTTCATTTAAGCAATCTTGTCCTGGAACTAACTTCTCCCTGCTGAAAATAAACTCTGTAATTGTTCATTTTATAGGAAAACCACAGTGAAACTAAATGTTATTTCAAATCTGATATGCTATATTTAAATAAAGTGGTAACACCCTGTTAATAAATGAAACATGACATTAACATTTTTTCCTCAGGTGTAGAATGAGCCAAGGAGATTCAAACCCAGCAGCTATTCCACATGCAGCTGAAGATATTCAAGGAGATGACAGATGGATGTCTCAGGTAAAAGAACAAGCACCTGTAATAGTCACATGAGGTGGGCCTCTTCGGTGTTTGAGGATCTTCTGACCAAAGTTGTAAAGGGCCTTTCTAATAGTCAAGAAGAACTTATTGCTGTAAGTAAGAATCCGATGTTAGACATGTGTGCTAAGTCCTCAGTCTGATGTTGGAACTGAGAAATGTTTTGAAAGCGTGATAATTGCCCTCTGGCAATCTTAAAAGGTGACCAGTTTCTTTTGCTTATGCTTTTTTAAAGCTTTTTCAGTTTAGGGTAGTCTCAAAATTATACAAATCTTATGTTTTTTCAAAGAGCTCTCACATGTCCTTCACCTAGACTCAAAACATTGCTAATTTTGCCACATTTGCCTGGTTATCTTGTCTGTATTGCATATACCAGCATAGGCATTCCTGGTTCACATGCTCGGCTGACAGTGTACTCAGAGACACCTTAGAAGAAAGGCCTGGTGATCTCCTGAAAAATCAGCCATTGAAAACCCTGTGAAACACAATTCTACCCTGACACATATGGGGTGACCATGAGTTGGAGATGACTCGACAGCAACTGGTATTACTAACATACTGTTTTTTTCTGAACCTTTTGAAGATAAATTGCAGCCATCATGCCCCTTTACCTTTAAATATTTTACTGTGTTTTCTAAAAACAAAGATACTTTCTTATATAACTGTCGTTGTTGTTGTTGTTATTACGTGCCATCGAGTCGGACCTGACTCATAACGACTCCTCCTTGGGTTTCTGAGGCTGTATCAGTACAGAAGTAGATTGCCCAACCTTCCTTCCGAGTAGTGGCTGGTGGGTTTGAACCGCCAGCCTTCTGGTTAGCAGTCAAGTGCCTTAGGCACTATGCTACCAGAGCTCCTTCTTATATAACTACAGTATAGTTAGTAAAATTGAGAAATCTAGCACTAATATAACACTGTTGCCTAATCCAGGAGCCCTGGTGGCATACTGCCTAAGGCATCTCACTGCTAACCAAAAGGCTGGCAGGTCAAACCCACCAGCCACTCCTCTGAAGGCAGGTTGGGCAATCTCCTTCCGTAGTGTCGCCTCAGAAACCCAAGGAGGGGTTGCTATGAGTAGAATCTGAGTTGACTGCAGTGAGTTTGTTTTGGTTTTTGGTTATTGCCAAATCCACAAATTATATTCAAATTTTTCCATCCGTCCCAATAATGTTCTTTATAGCAATTTTCTTCCTAATTCGGAATCATCACACACTGTATTCAGTTGTTATATTTCTTTCCTTTTTTTTTTTTTTTAATTTGTTACGTTTCTTTATTCTCCTTTAATTTGAAATATTTCTTAGCTTTTGTCTTTCATGACATTGATGGTTTTGGATAAGATAGGGCATTAATATTGTAGAAAGTCCCTCAGTTTGGGTGTGTTTCCTCATCATCAAGATTCAGAGTATGCCTTTTTGGCCAGGAATATCAGTGAAATTATGTGTCTTCATTGCATCACATACAGTACACATGATGTTGGTTTGTCTTACTGATGATACTAACTTTGATCATTTGGTTAAGGTGGTGGTGGCCCTAACCAATTCTTACTTACTATATTTTGGACTCAGAAGAATTGTAATTAGCAAATGTAGAAAGAAGGAAGGAAAAGAAAAATCAGGAGACCACCACAGTAATAATTGCTATAGGTAAGATCTATTAATGAATGCTATATATAATTAGTGGGAGCTCTGGTAGCATAGTGGCTAAGGCACTTGACTGCTAACCAGAAGGCTGGTGGTTCAA